TCAGACGTGCTACTCGCACGTAAGCCAAGTATGCAGAAAAGCACGACCTTGGTGTAAACATCAAAGGTTACGCCCCCGTTTAATCAACACGTAATTACTAACATCAAAGGAGGCGCCGCGCACAGTGGATCGAGTCGATAATGGAAGAGGTCGGACAAAATTTGACAACTTTCAGAGCTCATAACTCCGTTAAAACAAAGCTTTGAGATTTAAAAAGTGGTTCCATCGGTTTCCTCGTGAAATTGTAGTCTAGAAGCATCCCTTAAACTTTACAATGTGACAGATTAAACATCAAAATTTGCAGTTTAAAAAAAAAAATTTCATGTTCCACCTCTCTGATTGACTCGATCCACCGTGCGCCGCCAGCTGATCATAATAATTAGGACGATTTTCATATAGAATAGAAAAATGATTCAACAACAAGAGGATTTTAAAATCCCGATCGCCCGAGTACAGCTGGTGCGCAGATTTCATGAAATGCAACCATCGATCGAGGAATATTTTATTTGTACTCGCATTCTTATTATTCATTTTACACCTCCGATGATCTATTCTGCCGTGCTAAGTAAAAACGCCCGTATGGTCATGCAAATGTTGTTATATTCCTTCTCAAAAAATAAATACTTTTGAGGAAAGTTATGAATATTTTTTCTCGAAATTTTCAGACTTTTTAGATCAAATTACGAACGAAATTCTCTGAAAAATCAGGAGCAGGGTGTCTCCTAAAACAGGCTGGTCAAAAATCAGTACTTTTACAGGGCTTTTTAGTACATTCTCAAGAAATTCAGTACCTCCACAACATGAATATTCAGCACTTTTTCAAAGCCTCCAATTGACTCAATTCGAAAATTTTCAAAAATGTGGATTTCTCGCTCAAATTGCGACAAAAAGTCCGGACCTTCTTACGAAATTTCCGCACTTTATCGGTACTTCCGGACCGCCCTTAAAAAATCAGTACTATTTCCGGACTTTCCGGAAATTCCGGACTTGTAGACACCCTGAGAAGAGAAATATTCACGAATTCGCCTGAGGATTCGAGAAATTTCGAAAGAAATTTGGCAACGCCTGATGGCTCATTCGGCGTTTTTCCTTAGCACAAGAGTATCACAACCCGGATGGAACCCGGTGAAAGATAGCCGAACACGAAAAAGGGCACGGCCTTTGACTCCTCCCTGATTATTCCTTGAATTAAGTATTGCCGAACGCGAAAATATGAGAACATGCTCACGTATTCGCACACCGAAAGCTTACATAAAGACAAGCGAGCAAACATACTTTTGATTGATATTAAAAGGAGTAAACTCGAATCTTCATATAGTACGCGCCTTACATTAAGTTTCCATGAGTCCTTTTAAACGTTACAAAATCGCTAATTTTTTTTTTTTTTTTTTTTTTTTTTTTTAATACTTTTTGCATCCATATATTACACGTATAACGCATAAGGAATGAAGCACTGGCTTTGGAAAAAAACACGGTAGCAAAAATACCCAAGCGTACGTAAATCGCATACTTAGATGTAAAAAATGGTCAAAAAATACGTGAGCTTTAAGATGGAACACTCGCTTGGTTTTCGTTTAGTAAAAGGAAAATTAACTTCACAGGTTCATTGCTCGTTTTCGCTTCCTACTTGCAAATTAATTAAGATCAAATGCCGTTAAAGTTATAGTGCTTTCAGCCTAAGCTCAATTTATTTCTTAATTTTATATTTTTATATTTTGCTTTTAAATTTTTTTTTATTTATTTCTCAGTTGTTTTATTTTTAAATTTTTGATTTGTTTTTTTTATTTTTTATTTATCTATTGATTTTTTCATTTTTGCTTTTTTTATTTATTTTTTTTAATTTTTATAGGTTTTATTTACTTTTCAATTTTTTTCTTTATTTTTTTATTTACCAATTTTTCTTTTTTCGATCACAGGAAGGAAAAGTCCTCAGTTTGTATCCCGAGCACAACCGACAAGAGGGAAAGACCGGACAGAATATCGGAGCGACCCTCTGACGTCAGGGCATGAGCCCCTGCAGGTCGATTGTTGAATCGTTATCGAATGACCTTGATCGATAAATAGCATTGTAAAGATAGGGATTTATCGATCAAGTTCATTCGATAACGATTCAACAATCGACCCGCTGGAAGCATGAATCTATACAGTGGCGTGGCGTGAATTGCGATAAATCGATTGATATGTCATTTAAACCTATGGAAAAGGATCGATAAACAGGGTGTTCGCAGCGAACACCTTAGTAATCGATTCTTTACCATAGGTTTAAATGGCATAATAATCGATATATCGCAATTCACGCCACGCCACTGATCTTAAACAGGGCTCACGTGGAAACTGAGATACGCCTTTACGTCTGACAGACGACGATGGATGAATGACCTCTCCTCTAGTTGACGGACGCCAAAAGGAATGAAATCCTGGCGCCAGGCGGAGGGAGGAGGGGTTGTAACAAGTTTTAAACCGCAACTTTTTTCTGTTCCTTCAATACTATCGCTTCGTATTTTGTTGCTCGTAGTTCCTTCAGTTAAAACATTGCTTACTTTTCAATTGTTGTTAAAACCACATGTCTCGAGAGTGAGTTTAGAGAGCGGTGATAAACTTGAAGAATTTCCTCAATGGCAGCTGGAGGAACCCGAAAAAATTGGATGCTATCAAAGTAAGACCGTTCCAGATGGGAGTGAATCAAAACCCTCGAGTTGAAGGCAACAGACACGGTCGAAATTAATGGACGGTATCAATTTCAAGCCCT